ATCTCCAAATCAGATGATGGTGGTTCAGTGGAGTTTACTAATTTTAACACATTTTTAACAATATTTTAATTACTATATACAGAGCATATTCTTAGGCCGCCGCATTCAACATGAACAAACTTTATTCTCTCAACTATGCGAGCAACAGCGCCCTCTAGCCTTTTTTTTTTTTTTTTTTTTTTTTTTGTTTTCAAATATGAACAGAGATATTTAGGTTATCTATTACCGGACCTAACCTCCATCCGGACTGATAGGTTAAATTCGAATAACAAATTGTGCCAAGAAAAGTGCCAGTAAGCATTAACAGCATGATGAATTTCAATGGTTTAAAGTTGAGTTTCTTATCTTCTCACGCTCTTTCAAATAATGTGTGAAAGTTTGGTAGGAAAAAATAGTTTAAAAAAAAATAGCTTAGAGGTTTTTTTTCAGAAGCTGTTGTAATGAATGTTATGATAAATTTTTAGAGATTTCTACATTTATTTACTTTTTTTTCTTTAAAGGATATAAATCAATTAAACTTGCAGTCAGAATTTCAATAAAGTATAATATTTAAAACTTGTTATACAGTTAAAAGTCCTTAATCCGGACTCGTCGGGACTTCGGCAATTCCGGATTATCGATTTTTCCGAATTATAGATCATCAGTTTAAATCTGGTAAGATGGCATGCAGAAATTATAAAATTAAAAATATGAAACCGTAATTTATAAAATAATGAGCAATTATGATCTAAAGGGTATCAAAATTTACAAAAAAAGAAGCTTAATATTTATTTGTTTACTTTATTAAACATTTCTTTCAACGTGCGCATGCGTAAAGCATACATTACGCATAGCCGAAATTAGAAAATTGCAAACAGAAAACTATTTGATTTGTATTCGTGATATTTATAATGATGAGGAATCTGATTTAAATCATATCAAAGACGAAGTACATCGAGATGAAATACTACATTTAGTAAGGAATTATAAGCCGAATAAAATAAAAACATCTGCCCGGAAGATAATGATAATGCTGACAGATCAACTTCCAGTTCATTGCGTGCCGCGACGTCCCCCCCCCCACTACTCGCGCAGAGCAGCGTGAAATTGATAAACAGATTTCGGAACGGTTAGATAAACAAAGGATATGCCTTTATCCATTTTTTGTAGCATTCCAGATTTTGTTTGATGGACATCGAAACATACTTTCGTTTTCTAGATCCATTGGGAGCTGCAGCATTGGAAATTCTATTTGACATAATCGAAAGTTCAAGCTTACTTTTATAAAATTGCTCTTACAGTCTGCAAAAAATAATAAGCTGGATTCAATTCGAAGATTAAGGAACAACGCAATCATCAACATTAACTGAAATAGATAATTTTAGCTTATACCGTCCGTTATACATTAAACGCGCATGCGAAAACGTATTTTGCGCTTGCGCAGATGCATATGCGCAGTCGTAAAGGTCTTGCGCGCATGCGTCAACGCGGTGCATGCGCAGAAAGATTTTAGCTTTGAGGTCCGGATTATGGGTGTCCGAATCAACGACTTTTGACTGTATTAATTAATACAAAATTTCTATTTTCCTGAACTTCTTTTAAATAAGAGAGGGGGCTAACATTGAGTGTGCTAATTTTGATTGAGCAATAAATAGAGTATTAAAATCAATAGTACTCTTTCAAACACATTAATAAAACATTAGGGACTGAAAATATAGTATAAATACATAAAAATATTTTTATGAATGTTTATGTCATTTGTTTGGAGTGTACAGAAATATAGGATTTTTTTTTTTTTTTTTTTTTTTTTTTTTTTTTTGTAATAGCTATTGACAAATCAGTATAATTAATCAAATATAAAAATACTCGGTAAAAGTTAATTATGATAACTGAATTTCATTGATTATTATATTCTTGATTCTGCAAAATATGAATTATCTACACTATGTAAGAAGTACTGTGCTTTGATCTGTAAGTCATACTGATTATACCATTCAGTGTTCTCAGTTAGTATAAAAAATATCTTTTCCTGAGAGTTATTTTATTCTGTAACAAAGAATGAAAAATATCTATAGATAATCTTTTTTTTTTTTTTTTTTTTTTTTTTTTTTTAATTTCTGGTGTGGAATTTCATTACTTACTGGCTGTATTACATGATATTTAGTTTTGAATAAATGATTCACTTTTGTCAAAAGAGAGGTGATAATAGTGTACTTGCTGTCTTTGAAAATTTCAGTGACAATCAGAATGCAAGTTTTAACGTATATGCAAAGCTGTAAATCAAACCAATACATGAAAATATAAATAGTTTTATAAAATTATGTTTAATTATTAATTGATTAATTATGATTTAATCAGAAGGACTGTGTATCTGTAAATGTTTACCCCCTACTACAAAACATGATAACTCGTAATCGTGCACCGATAATAAAACATGCATTGAACCTCAAATGCATAAACTCTCAAAGTTTATAATTAATATTGAAAACATTTGATAAACTTCAACATGTGCACACTTGGTAGCACACAAAATATGGTATGTACGTATTAACTCAACGAAATATGGTATGTACGTATTAACTTGTTGTAGTTTGGGAGCTTTTTACAACTTATCCGGTCCAATAAGGCAATTCTCCTTTGTTTTTTTTTTTTTTTTTTTTTTTTGAGAGCTTTCCCAAACTATCAATATTTATTGTAAGTCAACAAACATTATTAATAAAGAAAAAACACTGTAAATTTTTTTTAAATACAAATTTAAATTGTTAAATAAGGATTATATGATTTTTCGTAGGATCCTTATCTAATCCTTTGGATCTGTTATTCTGCTCATAAACACTTTATAAACATAAACGCTTTATCTGTTATTATCTGTTATTCTGCTTTTTAAAAAATATCAGAGAATTGCAGAAAGTTTGCATGTTGCACCGGTTATATACCAGATGAATCTCCTCATTCTTCACTTCAACAAATTTATGGCAGACCTCAAAAATTTCCTTAGTTCCTTCCCTTGCTGGTAAATTCCACAAGAAATATTCTAAATTTGAGTTGGAGACAAAATATTTCACAATTTGTCCATCCATTGGAATCTGGAATACAATAAAAGGAATGCATATGAAAGTGATGACGTAACTTGACTAAAGAATTATTATGAGAATGGCTGCCCGAAGAATGCTTATGTGAATGATTGCCAGAGTTTGGCACATTCTGAAAATCTCATGTGGTTGTGATAATGTGTAAGTACCCAAAATATCCAAAGAGAGTATTTAATTTCATGGCACATATTCTTCAAAATTTCTAATGCCACTGTGCGACTTCTGTTCGAGGACTGGTATGATCTTGCAAAGTCACAACATAAAGTATTGTTGTGTGATACATAATGTCATTAACATACCCCCCCCCCCAAGAAAGGAATCTACAAGGGAGCTTGAGTAAGGAGATGTGTGTGTCTTGAAATTGAGTACCAGTTGGGTAATTTATGTTTTACCAGGGTTGCAAACGTGCAAGTTTTTTCAGGATTTTTCAATATAATTATAACTTTGAGTGTTTATGCATTTGAAGTTCAATGCATGTTTTCCTATCTCTGCACATCATGAATTATCATGTATTATAATCAGGGTAAATATTAATGATCTCTCTGGATTGCTGAATAACTGTCAGTGTTAATAAGGTACTTATGTGTTATCACAATTACCATAGTATATGTCGCCAAATTCTGGAAACCATATGCATAAGCATTCTTCAGGTAACCATGTTCATAACAACCCTTCAGTCAAGCAACGTCGCTATTTTCAATGTGCTCTTTTTGTTGTGTTCTAATGGGTTTTGTAAACAAATCGTGATTTTTTTCGCCTTAAACTTAATTTTAAAATATGCATTTGTGGATTTTGTCAGCAGTGAAAGAAGCTGTGGTAAAAATTTTGTAGGATTACAGAATTTTGCCACAAAATCTCTGAAGGGAACAATGAAAAGATGATTTTTGGTGTATAGGTTGCTGAGATTTGTACAATCCCGAGTCTGTGCAATTGTATGCGTTTTTAAAACAAAAACAGATTGCTGTGTACTTAAAGAAAATAGTGAAAAAAATTTACAGAAAGATCTGGAGAAGAATATAATTTTTTAATGTGCCATGTAATCTTTCTTTAATAATTAAAGTTTATATTTAAATTGCTAGAGTATGTTTTCTTTTCATATGTTGATATTGCCTGCTGACTTATGATAAATATCAATGTGGGAAAACTACCAAGTTGCACCCGATAAGTAACTATTACCTTTTCGTCTGTAAAACAAGTGTCAAGATAGCTGTGTTGATACATATGTACTGTTAGTTGGGGTTATTTTCCCAATATTTACAAAAAGTGTTCAGCAATTCAAATATTAATGTATTGCACACATTTGATTAATTAAATAAATCAGTTGAGTCTGTCAAATGAAATTTGTTAAACTGTATGGCCTCAATGTTAATGATACATAAAGATTCATGAGAAGAATAACTACTTTATTTGTAATGAATATAATATGTATAATGTTTAATGTGTGCAATTTTAATTCCAAAGCTGTGTATGATGCCAGATTTGTGCAATTCTTTATAATTTTTTTAAGCAAAAACAGATCGGAACAAAACTGTTGATCTCCCATTTTCTCCCATGTGATCTGCTTTCGTTTAAAAAAAAAATTAGAGTTGTTCACATTCTTATAAAAAAATCAGAGTTGTGTACAGTTGTACATAGTTTGGGCATTGCTTAGATCAGACATCATATGTATCATAAATGCACAGCTGCTCACGACTCAGAATAAATAAGCTATCACATTAGGCAACTGGTGCCCTTTTAGCAGACAATTACCATATTTTATTGTTCTGAGTTTTTATAGTCTTCATCTGTGCTAATATTTCTTGAGAATATTTCAATGAAAGATTGTAGCTAGCTTACCATAAAAGACAGTTTTAACAGTTTTATGTTGCTGCATGTTTCTTCTAATATATGTTTGATGTATAATATGACAGTGTATTTGTTTTGTTATAGGTGGTTTGGATTTAATTATAGTTCCTGGAATAGGCTTCACCAAAGAAGGTCATCGCATTGGCAATGGTAAAGGCTATTATGATGTTTATATTAAGAAATGTCAAGAAATTTTAGGTACTAAAGTTTCAACAATAGCATTAGCTTTTCAAGAACAAATTGTGCCTTACATACCTACTGATGAACATGATATGATGATAGATGAAGTTCTTTATCCAGAGGAAGCTGTGTAGCTTTTCTTTGCAGGCATAGAAAGATAGGTACTTACATATTATCCCGTCAACCATGAAACTGTCACCAAGCAGTGCAGTTTAGTGCCACTTGTGGATAAGTACAGGGGTTGGGGGAAAATATGGAAAAAACTCGTAAAATGCACGTTTGAACTGAAATGTTTGTTCTTGCAAAAGCTTTCGGTGGCACTGATTTGTTTGCTAACGCCACTTACACAACATCTTCAATACGTTGCAAGTGTCATTCATTATCAAGACAGTGACAGTGTGTGAGTGCATCATGTTAAAGCTTAATGAATTCGAATATTGGCAACTAGTTGGGGCTGGTATGGTGGGTGCTTCTGTAACCAAGGCAGTTGATGTGTTTGGTTTTTCAAAAGGCACAGTATCTAAGACTTTTAACTCATACATGAAAATCGGAAAAACCTCATCCACTAAATCACAGCGCTGACGAAAATCTGTTGTATGATCATATCAGATGATCATTGAAGGGGAGTGTGATGAAAAATTAGAGGTTAGGTTAGGTTATTTAATTACGGCAAAGCCTCGAGGGCCATCTGCCTAAGGGAAGGAATGCCTTTGTGGAGGGCTTTCTGAAGGAAACTGGTTTGTGTACGCGTTACACATGGGGAAAACCATGAGAACACCCATGCAGCTAGCCCATTTGCTGCGGGATTCAAACCTCGGACCGAACTACCAGTGTTCAGCGACTTTGCCGCTCGGCCGCTGGTGGGCCTGAAAAATTAGTGGACTGCAGCCACAAAAGTGACTGCTGAACTGAATGTCACACTTGCAAACTTTGTCAGCACCAAAAAATATGAAGGGAGCTTCACAAGGAGGGTATTTTTGGGCAAACTGCAATTCAAAAGCCACTCATCAGTGATCAAAATGCCTGTAAGAAGAGAAAGTGGTGTGCTAGTAGAAGAGAAAGTTGTCAAAGCCTAGACTGTAGAGCAATGGAATACTGTCATTGGTCAGATAAGTCTTGCTTCACATCGTTTCCAACTTCTGGTCGAATTTATGTCTGGCGAATGCCATCCCAAGCGTTATGATAGAGACAGTTCGCTGGCGAGAGTGAAACAATATGAGTGTTTGGTCATGGTTTGGACAACCATATCATGGTATTCTAAGAGACCCATCATTACTGTGGAAGATCACATTTCTGCCAAGGATTATGTGATAATTTTTGCTGATCATGTTCATCCCATGGTACAAGTTTTGTTTCTCAGTGGTGATGCCATATTTCGAAACAACATAGCTCCCGTTCACTCAGCTCACATCGTCCAGGACAGGTTTTTCTGAGCACGAGGGGGAACTTTCACATTTACCATAGACACCAGTCACCAGATATCAATATTATTGAGCCTTTGTGGTCTATTTTGAAGATAAATATGCGTGAGCGCTATCTATCACCATCATGGTTTGCCAACATTTTACAGAGAGAATGGCACAAGATTCCCTTTCAAAGTGTACAAGACTTCTATTTATCCATTTCAAAAAGACTGCAGTGGTTTTCCTGCACTGTATTAGTCACAGCAATATCTTTTTATTTCGGTGTTTCCATATTTTTGTCCAACCCCTTTATGTATCATAACACCTGCACACGTTGCACTCGTAACATCTGTGCTATCATTTGATGTAACCCAAACTGATTCATGATAAATCATCTTTTGCTGTTATGAAGAAAAGTATAAATTAACTGTTATTGCTGCATTCCGCCCCCCTTGCATTTTGAAAAAAAAAAGGGGGGGATTAAAATTTGAAACCTGCTTTTTATAAAATATCATGCAATGGATTATTTTCAAAGTTATGGGATCTTACCTTAAAAAAAAATTATTTATTAATGCACATGAATAGGTCTACAAAATGGCAATAGATTGCAATAATTACTAGTGGGAAGTTTATACTCATAGCGTTCTAAACAGAGCTTCTGATAACAAAATACAGCAAAGCTCCGCAAATGCTGATAGAAAAGCCAAATCAATCGAAAACATTTCTATTCTTAAAAAGCGGACATATTAATTGTTACCAGTTTCATTATCAGAAGCCAACATTTAAAAATGTACAAGATTTCGGGGAAAAAAAGGTGCATTTCAGTCACAAAAGCCAGCTTATTTCATAGGCCTTAAACACGAAAGTAAAGTATCTGATCTGATTTTGAATTCCTGCAGATCATAAAAGTTGGCGGAGATGTTGCTAGCTATTCCTGCAGAGGTTTAAACAAGCAGATTGTTCTTCATATAGTTAAACAGTGAAGAGACACAAATTACAGATATAGCATATAAAAAATTTAAAACACTTACCATAATTTTTCATGTTACTATTTATCCGTTTTCAAAGTCCTGTACTGTTGGCTTTTTTATGCACAGATTCTGTAATTTTGAAAATACTGTGCATCATGCACTCCCAGAGATTAACGTTTTTTCAAAATGTGAGAAAAAAATAAACTTTATATCCTTTTTATTTAGTTGGCTCTTTGAGAATTAACTGAATTTGCATTAAACCGAAACGAACTTCTTATGGTTGTGTTGTGACGTCATATTTATCCATTACTGGTGCTAAATCACACTGTTTGGAGACAATGTATGCATATTACTAGCATACGAGTTCTATAATGGCATTGCAAATTTTTCATTTGCTAAATTTTTCATGGGAAAATCTTATTCTAAAAGATTCCGGTTACTTGAACTTTTCTGGTTAATTGAATGTCAGATAATTGGACTTTTTCTTTAGTAGAAATTGATGAAAACCTTTTTACAAAGCTTAAAAATGGAGTGGGTCAAATACTGATTATTTATTAAATGAAGAGGCATCAGTTCTTTCAGAATTTCATAGTGACTATTTGGGCAACTCTGGCGGAAGCTCCGTCAACTTTCATAGTTCGATAGTAGCCAACTTTCATGATGGACGGTATAATTAATCCATAAGTATCAGAAGCTGTTACAAGTATTTATTTAAGTGTTTTCAAATGGGTTTGATTTAAGAGGGCAAAATTATTCAGAATTAAAAAAAAATTATATCTAAATGCATTCATATTAAAATATTGCATTGAATTTTAATATTTTAATGGAAGATTTAATATTTCATGTTTAATTTAGCATATGTTTCCTACCTAAGCTTAAGTTTGAAGTTGTCTCCTTGTAAGTCATATTATGATTGTATATGCTGTATATTATGCAGAAAAATAAGTGTCAAGGAGTTGATGAAGAAAACCATTTGCTTAAAAGATGTCAATGTGATGTATGATGAAATAACTGCTGAATAACTTAATCAGACCCTTCTTAGAACATAAATAAGCATTGGTATTAAAAGTGATCTGTCTAAAATGATTTCCTTACAGTAGACCAAAATGACTAGAAGTGTGGGTGCATCATAGGAGGATGAGCCATTTATAGTTTCTAAAATGTTTGGCTGTAGGTTACTTGATGTTGGAATAAGTCTGTATTATTTGATTTTAGCTATATTGCTATATTTAAGTCACTCGCCTGTAAAAATTGTTTTAAGAAAAGGCAAATATGAAGATATACTACCAAATAATTCTGTTATGTAAAAAAAGAAAATGTAAATCATGAAATGTTTTTCTTATTTTCTGTGGACATTTTTAATCTTGGCTGAAGAAAAATGAATGCTGCAGAGTTTTTGCAAACGCAGTGTGTTACAGGCATGTATTATGACAGAGCAGAGATTGCAATAATTGTTTGATACTTATATGAAACCCTTAGCTATAATTTTCTGCAGCCATGGGTATGACTTCGAATGGTGTCTTGCTGTTAAATTTCTTGTTCTGCCAGTTTAAAGAAGCTCAGACCTGCATGATGTTTTTGATACGAACACCAGAATGTGAAAATTGGAACATTGACGGTTACTCGGCGATCTATAATACTCTTGTAAGAAACTGATAACATCACCTTCATTGTTTGGTAGATCCAATAGACCCATATCAAACTATAAACTCCCTTCCCCCCCAAAAAAATCTCTGTTCTTAAAAGTTAGAAATATCATGCGGTTGCAGTAGAGAGAGAGATTTGTGTAATAGAGCTAAAATTGACAACTACGCACTCTCAAGACCTTCTTAAACACAAGCCTCCCTATTGAAGGCTCGTAGTTTAGTGATGTCACAAACTGTTGGCCTTCTCAATGGGGTGTGAAAAATCGCCCCTAAACCAAGGCCATCTAGATGGCATTAGCAAGTTAGGGGAAATTCGTCCTTGGGTCGTGAGAAGGCGCTTGAACCATGTCGCCTTAATTTGATATTGATATATTTTTTTCGATTTCAATCGTGCCTTTAAAGTGCTGTGTGCCGATATTCCGACAAAATTATTGTGACGGTTCTAAAGTATGAGTATATAGATTTCCTAACCAACAAGATGTATTACATAGATGATTAAAATCGATACCGAGAAAATTTTACCATTTCGAAGCATTTTCGGGTAAGTTAAGCCTAACTTGAAATTTAAATTTATTAAGGTATTTGCTTCTACATTTAAAAGAATGGATACGTTAATATTAAGGAATTTCATTTTTATAGAATACATTGTGTATAATATTGTGTAATTACGTATCGATTAGTATAATTATGTGTCAAATTGTATGGTTAATAATTATGTATCGAATTGCATGCTAAAAAATATTCCCTTACTTTTTAAAATGTCCAATTTTTTACTTTTTGATTAATTTTATAACTTGGAACTTTTAACTTTATACGTATATGGCAGCAAATGAAATTATTTAGCTTAATATTTAAATATATTTGGTTTTAAAAGTTTTTCTAAAGAAACTGTGAAGGCAATAAATATGCTTATGGTTTTTTAAATTGTAATATAAAGCACACAGTTTTGCGTAAAACAAGAAATAATTTAAATTTCTAATACATGAAAATTCAAATATTATTAAAACTTATGTCCCTAAGAATCCTTTCCCCCTCTTCTCTAGTGGGAGACAAACACACATATGCTTGCTATTACCTGTTTTGTTAAAATATAAATTGCATTACTAGAAATCCTACTTTTATTACTTTAAAATTAGTAATTAGGTAATTACAGTAATCTGAGTGAGCTTTCATCATGTCTAAAAAATGTTAAGATACCTGATGATTTAACAGTTGTGATTAAAGAAAATAGTCTATTTTTTCTCCAGATAAGCACAGAATTTGCTCCTTTTATATCTGTATCAGTCGTTATCCATAATGATCTGCCTGTGGAAGCATATTTTAGAGATATTCCATTAACAAAAATTAGTAACCATGAATTTTCTTTAAAAATTAATGATGTGTATAATCTCTGTTCATTGCTTTAAAGAAGTTGCAAAAATTAAAGGTGATAATAATGAAAAGCAGCTTTAAAAATTTTATTATTTCGTAACTCAAGGCCTTCCTCGGGAATTAGAAAAAAATGCCTCTGAACATAAAAAGAAAGTAGTTCAGTTTATATTTGAGCAGCTGACATTACTCGTTTTGCATAAAAATAATAATAGGTATAGTTCTGATCTGTTAATATCAAGTTTGATGTTTTCAATTTCTCCACATTGCTACAAATTTTTAAGAAATAGTGCATATGTTACTTTGCCACATCCTTCTACATTGAAATGATTGTCTTCTGAATATAATGTGTATCCTAAAGTGGAGCAAACTCG